GGGTTTTGAAAAACACAAAACTAGTTTCACAAAATGAAGTAACAGGGCACATGCAGTTGGAACGACAGAAGGCAAGAGTCAGGCAACAGATCGTTTATTAAGAAAATCAACACATATTTATAGATTTTCATGTACATTATTATAGATTATTGTTAGTAGACAAACAGCCCTCTGATTGATTGTTTCTCGGTGAACGTTAATCTTTCTTCTCTTTGTGGCTGTTTCTTGGATGTCAGATCATATATCTGCTAATTGTATCTGCCTACGCAAAGTCTGCTCTCAGTCTTTGATCTTGTTTTCACATTACTAATATTTGGGACATGAACATTGACGTAAATTAGTGTCTACGAATTTGACTAGCAGCAATCTCTCACCACACAGTGAAGTCATCATATGCAGAAATTTGTCCTCTAACTTGTTTAAATTACAGTGGAGTGTTGGGCTAAATGATACTACTCTTAGAGTCAATGCAAGAAAAAGTCTTATTTTTAAGGTGTTATATATCCCTGTTTTTAAGATATCTGGCGCAGCTGAAATGATAATAGATTATAGACATCACAGATATATATATTCGCTGAAGTGTTTTGTCCTGATGTATATTTTTCGACAACCAATATACTTTGATCGTAAATGCAACCATTATGTACCTATTAGTGATTGGTTACTAGTATATATATATATATATATATATATATATATATATGGATTCCCGAGCGCGCGCTTTTCGACTATCTCTCTAAACTTTTACTTAATGTAATCATTCTTTTCTCAGGCGTGAGGCTAGCAACCCCACCCTGCAAACAAAAATTGCTACAGAATCTTCAGTATGCTGAACCTCCTTGCACCAAAAGAAAAAGTCTGTGTAGGAACATGGAACGTTCGAACCATGTACGAGACTGGAAAAGCTGCCCAGATCGCCAACGAGATGAAAAGATACGGAATACAAGTGCTGGGAATATGTGAGAGCAGATGGAATGGGAGTGGACTCACCAAATTGTCAACAGGTGAGTCAGTGATCTACTCCGGTCACCCAGAAGATAACCACACGCACACCGAGGGCGTGGCTATCATGATGTCACCAACGGCAACGAAAGCCCTGATACAATGGGAGGCGATTTCGTCCAGGATAATGACCGCCAGGTTCAACTCCAAAGGAAGGAAAGTGTCAATCATACAATGTTATGCACCCACAAACAACGCAGACCTCGAGAAGAAAGAAGAATTCTACAGGCAACTACAGGCAACAATGGACAATACTCCAGCTGGCGACATGAAAATACTAATGGGAGACATGAACGCCAAACTGGGACCAGACAATACGGGAAGGGAACTCATCATGGGTAGAGAAGCTCTAGGAGAAATGAATGAAAACGGAGAACTCTTCGCCGACTTCTGCGCCTTCAACGAACTGGTGATTGGTGGCAGTGTATACAAGCACAAAGATATCCACAAGGCTACATGGGTGTCACCAGACGGGCAAACCAAAAACCAAATCGACTTCATCTCAATCTCAAGGAAGTGGAGGCGCAGCCTACTGGACACAAAAGCAAGAAGAGGAGCAGACGTTGGCTCAGACCACTATCTCGTACAAGGGACAATCCAAATCAAATTAAAAGCTTTCAGGGAATCAGGAGCTGCAGATAGACCACAAGCCAAGTTCAACACTCAAAAGCTGAAGGACCAGGCTACAAAGGACATCTTCATTGCAAGCATAAAGGACAAAGTCGAGACACAAATCAACACTAGCGAAGAGGTCGGCGTTGAAAAGCACTGGAACAACTTGAAAACGGTGTGGAGCCAAACCTGCATAGAAATTCTAGGCAGAAAAAAGAGACAGGACAAACAGTGGCTCACTATGGACACTTGGAAACTAATAGAAGAGAGAAGGACAGTGAAGCAAAAGATTATCCAGTGCACGGACGAGCAACAAAAACAGGAGCTGAATGCAAGCTACAATACACTGAACAAAAGAGTGAAGAAAAGCGCCAGGGAAGACAAAAGAAAATATTATGAAACCATGGCTAACGAAGCAGAACAAGCTGCAGGCAAAGGAGACCTCGCCACACTCTACCAAACAACTAGGCACCTATCGGGCAAACGTTCGACACAGATTAAGCCAATAAAGGACGACAATGGAAAGTCAATCACCAAAGAGGTGGAACAGAGAAAGCACTGGGTTGAACACTTCAAAAGACTTCTAAATCGTCCGCCACCTACAACACGTCCAGCAATACCAACAACGGAAGCAGAACTACCAGTGAACACTGACCCCCCGACGAAATCAGAAGTCCTGAATGCAATCAAGATGCTTAAAACTGGGAAAACACCGGGACCAGATGGAATCCCAGCAGAGGCTTTGAAAATAGACCCAGAGACAACAGCGGACTTGATGACACCACTACTGGAGAAGGTGTGGAAAGAGGGCAAAGTACCCGAGGATTGGAAGAACAGTTACTTATTCAAACTTCCAAAGAAAGGAGACTTAAGTCAATGTAAAAACTGGCGGGGAATTATGCTTCTGTCCATTCCAAGCAAGATACTAAGTCGCATCATCCTGGAGAGAATCAAACAAGCCCTAGATGAAAAACTTCGTCCGGAACAGGCTGGATTCAGGAGAAACAAATCATGTATTGATCAAATCGCCACTCTACGGATCATCATTGAACAAAGCTTGGAATGGCAGTCACCTCTCTATCTCAACTTCATCGACTTTGAAAAGGCCTTCGACAGCGTCGATCGAGAGGTCATTTGGAAACTACTTCGCTACTACGGGGTCCCATTGACAATTATACACCTCATCCAACAGTTATACGACAATGCTGCATGCCAAGTAATCCACAACGGGAAACTTACGGAAGCCTTCGAAGTGAGGACGGGAGTGAGGCAAGGCTGTCTACTATCACCAATGATCTTCCTGATTGCAATTGATTGGATAATGCGACAGACAACGGCAACCAACGAGGGAACAGGCATAAAATGGACTGACACAAAAGACTTGGAGGATCTGGATTTCGCCGATGATATATGTCTGATTTCCCATAAACTGGAAGATATGCAAATGAAAAGTAACAAGTTGGCAGAAGAAGCATCAAAGATAGGACTTCACGTGAACATAGATAAAACAGAGGTGATGAAGATTCCTTGCCAACATCAACAGCAACAACAGACCACAATAAGCATAAATGGGAAGAACCTGAAAGAAACAACCTCCTTCACCTACCTGGGAAGCATCGTCTCAACTACAGGCGGAACTGACGAAGACATCAAAGCCAGAATCGGAAAAGCAAGACAAGCTTTCATTACTCTCAAATCTGTGTGGAGGTCAACAGCAATCAGCATCAAAAATAAGATCCGGATTTTCAACTCCAATGTGAAGTCAGTGCTACTATACGGATCAGAGACTTGGCGAGTCATAAAGAGCATCTCAAACAAACTTCAAACCTTCATTAACAACTGTCTCCGCTCAATACTCAAGATCAGATGGCCAGAAAAGATCAGCAACAGGGATCTCTGGGAGCGAACCAATCAGGAACCGATTGTGAAACAAATAGGCAGAAAGAAATGGAGATGGATTGGCCATACGCTGAGGAAACCATCAAGTGACATCACTAGACAAGCCCTCGAGTGGAACCCGAAAGGGAGGCGGCGAGTTGGTCGTCCAAGGGTGACTTGGAGGAGGTCATGTGAAGAGGAGATGAAAGCATGTGGGCAGACCTGGAGCAGGGTGAAAAAGTTGTCAGAAAACCGAAGTCAATGGAGGTATATATCGTTTTATTATATTTATGACTACTAACATTGTAATATGCGCAATGATTTACTGGCCAATAATTTCGATTCCTGCTGCCGTTCAGATTTACATTTCACCATACATAAATCACATCACTACTAACCGCATGCCAGCCACCAGCCAAGGTCTATCTCACCGTCAAATACACCATTTAATAATTCTCATTGTAGCATTAAAAACACAATATTCAGAGAAGTGACCTTTTTCAACAACGAATTTATTATCAAGCTGTACAAACGTATATATATATATATATATATGGTTTTGTTAAGAAATTATATTCGGTGAGGGAATTAGATCAGAAGTGTGAACACATGAAATAACAATAGTTGTATGAAATGCAATTAAAATATTTGTGATTATAATCATGGTTTAGTATCAAGTGGTAAAATAATTGATGTTCTTTCTGATTGCATTGACTCAGAACCTGACTTCTTAAAAGCCACGCTCATAGAAAATGGTTACCATAACCGATTTATTGACAGCAACATGAAAGATAAGCAGTCTAAACTGCTCACTGACTCAGTTCCAGAGAAAACCTTACTCATGAACTTAGAATGCAAAGGTGATCAAGCTTCAGATATGCTCAAAAATCGTCTTTCTAAATCAGTCAGTAAGACGTTCCCTGCGGCTAGATTACATAGGACGTTCACAAGCCGCAAATTGTTCGCTCTCTGTAAAAGATAAGCTCCCTCATCTGACCGCCTCCATGTGCATCTATCAGTTCACCTGCTCTTGTGGAGCAAGGTACATTGGCCGTAGTCAGAGGACGCTCTCCACACGGATACGAGAACATATTCCAGCATGGTTTTACAAGGGAGAAAGGAAGTGTGTGCGAAGCTCTATTCTGGAACACCTGATCGACTTCTGTCACTTGGTCAACCCTGACCCCAATTTCAAGATCATATACAGAAACCATGCTAACTTCCCGCGTTTTCTTCATTACAGACTTCTAAAGACAGCTGAGGCCATGGCAATTCATGACTTTAAGCCAGACCTTTGTGTACAAAAGAAGTACGTACAATCCTTACTTCTGCCTTGGCCGTAGAGGGATAGACATTTATTTATTTGGCTTATTTAGTTATTTCTATGTACCTTTCCCTTATTACTACGATTATTTTTATTATTATTACTATTCTCACTCTGAATCTTTTCCACTTGACCCACTTGTCATTTTAAACCAAAAATGATTAATTTCTATACTTTTTATTTTTAATTCCATATTAGTTTGATTATTAAATTTTTTTATTTTTACAATATTTAATTCTATCTTATCAAATTTCACACCATGTTATGCAACATTTTATATTCGTCTACTAATCTTATAATTATGTATACCTTTCCAAAATCTATATACCTTATGTATTATTCTATATATGACATTAATTATTTTGCCACTTGACATTAAACTATGATTATAATCACAAATATGTTAATTGCATTTCAATATATGTGTAAAACTTGGGCACTGTGGTATTAAGTAATTCCATATTAGTTTGATTATTAAATGTATCACACAGTGAAACAGTATTGTATACTGGATGACGTTTCGAACACAATTTATTGTTCATAATCATATCAATTTTTGTCACACGACCTCGAGATTTCATTTTTATAGTTTTCTCTGTCTTCTCCTATTTGTTGTATGGGCAGTAGAATTTTCCATATATCTGTGATATCACAAGTGTATCACACATTCCGACGACGTTCAACAACCAATCAGATTTGTTTGTTTATATATTTATGGCTTAAATTTCTGAGAAATTCGTAAATACAATATACATACCATATATTTTGTCAAATAAAGAGGGTCATTCCGGTTGCGTTAATCTCAGTATGGGTCAGTGCCCTGCTGACCATAATGTCGGGTCATGCCACACAAACCTGCCACTACCCAGTATCACTCCATCATAACACTGAACACCAATGTTACTTAGTATACATATATTTATCAAAATAGTAATATTTATAATAATAGTAATAAATTCCAAAATCATCAATACATTAAATAACATGCTTTTAGTGTACTTGTACAGCACAGATTTAATTTGGAGATGATGGAAGGAGATCATTGACAAAGTCTAAATCGTCATCTAAAAATGAAAAAAATATGAACGATAATAATAATAATCACAAAATGGAATATGTTAATTCTCAGGATATTAAGAAAACTCGGTAAATACGCCTATCACTCTACTGTTGGATAATGAAGTACAGCCTGTGGCTTATTGATTTTTTTCTATTCCTTGACGTTCTCAGTGGAACATAAGGCGGCTTCAAGCTAGAGGCCTGAAGTTTCTGTAGCAGTGGTGATTATTTTTACAGGATGGGGTTGCTGCTAGCCTCATGCTTAACCTTTCCTCTTCACCAACTTAATTTTTGGCTTAGTGACACAAAGGAGTGCACCAGGAGGGGACTGAACCCCGGACCATGCGCATGGTCGGCGAGCATCCTGACCGCTGCGCCACCAACCCTTATATTGATTGGTTAGAGAATTCGATTTTTCGTAGAAACCGGTATAGCACACACATTCAAATAACCTTCCCTCCTCTCTTGAGGAGGATTTTGTCACCAGGCTGTACCATTAGGCTTAGTACGACACTTTTTGGGTACACAAACATATAAGATGTTTTGGATGAGTTTTCGTTCACACAAACCAGAGAGCCATCGTCAGTGAAGCACCAAGTATTAGCTAGCGCATAAACTGTCCAATGCCTTTCTATAGATACTGAATGCTGAAAAAGACAGGAGCCATGACAGTTTGCTTAAAACAACCAGAGTTCTGCAGACGAAAAAAGACGGGTGTAGTCACTATAGCTGCCAACCAACAACAATAAAAAGCCCCAATCACTATCACCGGAAGGAATTTGAAATAGGTCACTTATTACCATAGGTGGAATGTATGAAGATGTCGAAACCATAATCAAATCAGAAAGACAACACAGACATTCATCACTCTGAATCAGTTTAGAAATCCTCTGCACTCCGAAGCATACGCAGAACAAATTTCTGATTTCTAACATCAATGTTAAGTTAGTCAGTCAGTAGTTCTTCCATATGGGTTAGAAACTTGGTCGTCATGTCATGAAAAATATTTCTAAAAGATTCCAGACTGTCATCAACAGTTTCTCCCTTCGGGGGCTCCATTATTATTATTGTTCCCTTGGGTTCCTAGTGGAACATAAGGCTTCAACTACACGTCTCCACTTGCTTCTGTCCTGTGCTGTACTTTTCACCTGCATCCATGTTAGTCCATACTGTTTCAACTCCTCAACTCTTCACACGATCTCCTCCATGTCACCCTTGCACTGACGTCCCACTCACCGCTTCCCTTTCGGCCTGGTTCCACTCAAGCAATGGCCTGACGCGCGATGTCACCCAGTGGCCTCGTCAGCGAGTGTCCAATCCATCTCCACTTTCTCCTGCATATTTGTTGGTTGGCGATTGGTTCTTGCTTTGTTTAGTTTGTTCCCATAGTTTATTATTGGTGATTCTTTTCGGCCCGGCTGTCTGATCTTCAGTATAGAGCCAGCGAAGACAGTTAGTTGTTAATAAAGATCTGCAACAGGCTGTTGGAAGTATTCTTTGTGATCCGCCAAGTTTCTCATCCGTATAGAAGAACTGACTGACTTGACGTTTGTATTGAAAACCCGACCGAATATTGTTGTTGATGCTGAGTGACGAAGATTTCCAGATTGGTTTCAGGTTGATGAATATGTTTCTCGCCTTCCCGATTCTCGCTCGATTTGACATCCTCGTCCGTTCCGGCTGCCTGTAGTTGAGACAATGCTCCCTAGATAAGTGAATGGAGTAACTAACCTCTTTCAAATCCCTCCCGTTGATGGGGATTGGCGCTGGATGTTGCTGTTGTTGTTGTTGGCTGGTTATTTTCATAACTTCCGTCTTGTCTATGTTCACTTGGAGTCCTGTTTTCGCCGGCTCCTTCTTCGACCAGTTTGTCGGTTTTCGCTTGTAAGTCTTCGATTTTGTGTGACATCAAACATAAATCATCCACGCGCGAAATCCAGGTCTTCTAGGTTCTTCACGTCGGTCCAGGATATCCCTGTCTTCTCGTTTCCCACTGTCTGACGCATAATCCAGTCAGTCCACCACAATTAGGAATATCATTCATTAGTGATTATAAGCACCCTTGTCTGACTCCTGTGTTTACTCCAAACGCCTTGCAGAGTTTTCCGTTGTGGATGACTTGACATGTGCCGTTGTTGTACAGCTGTTGAATAAGGTTGATGAATATTTGGGATACATCGTAGTACTCGAGTAGTTCCCAAATTACTTCTCCGTCAACTCTGTCAAAGGACTTATCAAAGTGTATACAGTTGAGGTAGAGGTTTGATTGCCATTCCATGCTTTGTTCTGTGATGATGATGCGTAGAGTCGCAATTTGATCAGAACATGATTTGCCTGACTTTCCTGAATCCAGCTTGCTCTGGTCGGAATTCTGTATCCGGTGTGTGGTGGCTCCATACTGAAGATTAAATGGCCGACTTGCCAGAAAGAATTAGTAAGAAGAAACTTTTGAGAACGAAGTAATCAAGATCCTATTGCTCAACAAATATGCAAAAGAGAGTGGATATCGATTGGGCACACACTTAAGGGAGTGGGGGACCGTCAAACAGCACCACGCGCCAGACCATCCGTCGAATGGGAGACGATAATTTCGGCGTCCCAGGGTGATATAGGGGAGATCGTGTGAGGAGGAGAAGAGATTACTGGCAATCGTCGACCAAGCTGAAAAAGTCGAGATGTGTGGTTGAAGCCCTATGTTCCACTAGGAATAATAATAATAATTATAATATAATATAACTATTCTTTTTGTCTCATATCTCCTCTTGCTTTGTGTGCTAATTGAAGTGTGGCAACTCGAACTGCTGAACATATCTGTGCAAAGTTCTACGTTGAAACCAGTCCACTTAAACAGCAGTCTTGTTATCACAATTTCTACTCTCTTAAAAATAACAATCGACTTACCCATTAGATTAAAACTAGTTTTTAATTGATTAGACGAAGATTTTCTAGATACTTTTTGAGGGACAGATACTTTTACGTCATTGTTTATTAGAAAGAGAAAAAGAAGAAGAAAAAAGGAGGATTAAAAATTCAAATTACAAAAGTTGATATATAAATATATATATGGTGAGAGCAGGCTGCTAGCCAATTGGAAGACATTAATTTACGTCAATGTCTATGTCGCTAATATTGGCCGTGAGAAAATATGAACAAAGACTGATTCAACAACCAATCACAACAGACTTAACGTGGGCAAATACGATTCGCAGATATATGGCTTAACTTTCTGAGACATCAGTCACAAGCAGTACAGAATAACCTTGAGCAAGAAACAACCAATCAGAAGACTGTGTTTGTCTGCTTGAATAAGCTATAATAATGTACATAGAATATATATAAATACGTGTTAATTTCCTTAAAAAAGGATCTGCTTCCTGGCCCTTGTCTTCTGTTGTTACATATATATGTATAATAACTACACCACGTAATTGGGAATATTGTTCCAAGAGGAGGGAGTAATCGAATATTATATTGACTAACAGACTGACTGGCTGACTCAAAACCAACTGGTCATCGACTCTTCATGGGCTGATGTGAAGCTTTGTGGTTTGACTGCCCCTAACTTTTAACCATCTTAATCATATGTTAGATAGCACTGCCCGTCGATGGAACGTAGCGATGGCTAGGTATACGTAACACCTATTCCCAGTGTAACGGGAAAAGACAAGAGACTTGGTAACGAGATGTCATTTCGCAATTATGTATACCATATATGAAATCCGTCATTTACACATATCTTCTGTGTTATGCTGTGGTGAGAGCTGGCTGCTAGCCGAATTGGTAGACAGCAATTTACGTCAATGTGTATGTCCCCAATATTGGTCATGAGAAAAATAAGAACAAAGACTGACTCAACAACCAATCACAGCAGACCACCTTGCGTAGGCGGATACAATTTGCAGACAGATAATCTGAACTTCAACAAACAACCACAGAGAGATGAAAGATTAACTTTCAGTGAGAAACCACCAATCAGAAGACTGTGTTTGTTTGCTTAAATAATGTATAATAATGTACATGAAAATCTGTAAATATCTGTTGATTTCCTAAATAAGCGATCTGTTGCCTGTCCCTTGTCTTCGTTTCACAGAGGCTATTGCGTCAAAGGACTTTGACCCAACCTGTGTATATACAGAAGAATTTTTAATATATTGGTGCATTGAAGTTTCTGTAGCGGTTTGTTTGAGTTTTGAGGGTGGAGTTGCTAGCACCACGCCCCAACCCTCCCTCTTTATCCGGGCTTGGGACCGGCTAGAAAACTAGCAAGCTAGTAGTTTAAGCGAGGCTAGAAAACTAGCGAGCTGATAATCCAGGCGACGTTAAGCGGAGTGCGTCGGCCGGGAAGATAGAAGGAAGAAAGATAGCATAACTAGTCTCTCACTACTGTTTTATATTCCCTTACTGAGAGTTGAACTTAGTATTAAGTTTTCAAATCTACTTAACTATTTCGTCTATGTCATAATGTTACTTGACTACTCGCCCCCCCCCACACACACACCTTAATGAACTCTCCATTGCAGTGTGTATAAATTCACTCCTGTTGTATGTGATCTGGTATTTTGTCTCGACAAAGTTAAACTTTAAGCACCACTAACTACCAATTAGCGAACGACGTTCAACGGACTAATCACATGAAAGAGGGATTTTTGATAAAGGAGAATGTATATTTATGGAAAACAAAGCATAAAAACTGCATAGAACTGTTACATAGGGTATCTTTCTTTAACATGTGAAACATCTCCCAGTTTAGCATAGGAGTGTCCATAGAAAAGTCACACCACATTCTGTACATATATTCATCCGAATAACTATAAATGAGATCCTATTGAGATAGCCTTAATCCTGTTTTTCAATCTTCCCCAAAATCCTTCTATAGGATTTGTGTGTGTCCCTGTAATGGGATCCACAAAATCACTGGAATGGTTCCCTCTGTGGTGAATATATCCAAGGGATGACAGTGAGTTATAATCTTTCCACTCATCAGTATGTACTATGGATCCCTATTTCACAAGTCTAGTGATAATAGATATTAAAGTAGTTAACTTCCTGTCTGGTATTCTCTTCACGAATATTTTCCGTAGGGAGGTGTCCTATAAACTGATCACCACGGTTGTATGCTTTCTTCAGTAACACAGTTTCCTCCTCATGCATGACGATGCCTTCTTCACCAAACAACGAAGTAATTCTCTCCATTTTTCAATGAGGTGATGTGTCTGCAGTGCTAGTACCACTGAACTGTTGACATGAGGCTATTCTCGGTTTCAGCCGCTGCGCCTTTCACAGGCTGTTTTGAAACCCAGTAGTTACAAATATACAAAATCTGCGACCGAGCACAAAATGTCCCTACGAAATGTTAAAATTACCAGCTTACTCGTCTCAACTAAACTGCACAACGATCGACCTGCTAAAGCTTTTTAAACTCATCACACCACCACATGAACAAATTCCCTCCCTCTTCAGCAACCCCAAATCCAGGCTATACTGCAAAACCTTACCCTCCTCGAACTGCAAGCGTAACTCGGTTAGAACACTCATTCGAAACGAATCAAGCGCTATAATACCTTGAACTCACGTGCATGAACTTCATTGAACCATTCGAGGTCATTCGCTGAACTGGTAGTTATGGGTGCTTAACGTTTAACTTGACCTTTTGTCTGAATTCTACCTCTTCACTTGTCTAATTATAGTACAAATAGTTAGTTTTTTAACACTTAATAATTCGTCTACTCCCAAAATTTTTGGAATTTATGTTTCTCGTAGTCTCCTACAACTGCAAATATATTATACGTTCTTACTTTCTTTCTTCTGTTAATCACAAACTAAATAAAGGGAATCGATTGATTGTATGTTAAACTGAGGTGGTTTTGTGGTGAGAGCAGGCTAGCCAAAAATGGTAGACAGCATTTTACGTCCATCTTGGTGCCATATTGTACCAAGTTTTTATGCGTTTAAATAAATAATAAATACAATGAGTATATCGCAAATATTAGTGGTGAGAAAATATGAACAAGACTGATTCAACAACCAATCAGAGCACACTTGGCGTAGACCTATACAGTTAATATATAGATGACCGGACATTCAAGAAACAGTCACAAAGAGACGCAAGGTCAACTTTCCGTAAGAAACAATCAATCAGAAGACTGTGTTTTTATCTGCTTGAATAAGCTATAATAATGTACATAAAATATATAAATACGTGTTGATTTCCTTAAAAAAGGATTTGTTTCCTGGCCCTTGTCTTCTGTTGTTACAGTTTGTATAAAATATAAAAAAATAGAAATGGACCAAACTGAACTGAACTTACACAACAGACAATTTGATATATTAGAGAAGTCTTTTAAAACACAATGACCTTTTTCATTTGATTGACTAGAAGACGACGGTTTAGTTGTGGGGAATGAAAATTTCCAGGTTTCTTCACTTATATCGGGAAGATTTTCGAAAGATGAAGACAGTTGAGGTGATGGCTTTGAATGAACTAAAATGTAAAAAGGGATCACATCAATGAGATCAGTATTTCTTTTTTACTGCATGGAGAATTTCATCATGAGCTGACATCATTTAGAGAACCACTGGAAAACAAGCTGGGCGTACTGAACAGCTGTTTCATCCCGGTTTGGGACTCTTCATCAGTACACACCCACCGGGGTTCGAACTCAGGACCTTCTGGTTACAAGACTGGTGGGTGCGTACTGAGAAGAGTCCCAAACTAAGATGAAACAGCTATCCAACACTCTCAGGTTTTCCAGTGGTTCTCTAACTGATGTCAGCTCATGGCGAAATCGTCCATGCAATCAAACAAAATCCCCACAAAACCAATACTTGAAAATTTCTTTTTTTATAATAATTCTTTTGTCGTAAAACTGATGTATATTTAAAAGAAATTAAGTTTTGAAGAAAACAGAAGATGAATTCATCAAAGAAACTTTTCTCTATTGACGAAATTATCTTCACAGGCTGTACAATCGTGTTTGTATTTGCTGAAAACGCATAGTAATCCATTAGTGAGTAATACAGGGGAAGAAACATAACTGAAATAATTACTCAGAAGTGGCTTCAAAAGTAAAAATAAAAGTTAGAAATTATGTAATACTCAACGTAAGTGTTAGAAATTTGATAAGGCTACATTTTTTATTGAGTGAGAAGAAAGGTAGTTGAGCATTCATTTAACAAGTGTGAAAAGGGTGCGAAAATGTACAAAAGGAATATATGAGAGTGATAATAGTGAATTAATTATTAAAGCAAAAGCAAATTAATCACCTACAAATTGTGCGTTGGTGCCAAAGTGGTTAGGACTCTCGCCGACCATGCACATGGTCCGAGGTTCGATCCCCTGCCGACACACACCTGATATCTATGATCGGCCTGTAAAATTTCGGCTACCGATATCACATGCTGAAAATTTCATACCTGTACCAAAAAATACGGTGTGGAATCAAGCTGTAATCAAAAAAAAAAAATTTACAGGGAAAAACTAATGAAGACGTTAAGACAATGGGTAGAACAAGAGACGGGAGAAACTTTTTTGGTACACAGAGATTGGGGTTGTATTGATGAGTCACGAGAGCCTCCATCAAACACAAACGAAGAAACCTATTACCCCTTGGACCATTCTGTCTCACCCTGTACACAGTCTTAAAAGATTCTGGTGGAGCTACATGACCAGAGTTCACCAAGTGGTCGAGAATTGAGCTAGTAATTGTCTTTTATTGCCCTTTTGTTAACCGTGCCGGATAATATTCAGAGATGCGTGTGGAAAGTATGCGCTTTGTACGGCTAATATAACTAACCAGCTCCACAGGAACAAGTGAATTTATAAACACATGTTGAACTGACCCATAGAGGTAGTTTATCATTCACACACACCTATTGATCATTTGTCGACTGTAGAAATTGATCTATAGCTCAGTTGGAAAGAGAAAGCTTTTCTCAGTGGTTCTTCAGGACCTCAGCTGCCACCCTCCCTTCTATATTACTCAAAAATGGACTACTGCACGTTTACAGGCAAATAAAAAGACGATTGTACAGTCTGTGAAAACGATTTCGTCGATAAAGAAAATTTACTTCGCTGAATTGTCTTTTATTTTTCTTCATGATTCAATGGGCATTTTCAGTGTTTTAGAAATAAAGTCATTTAACGTTTGTTATTATACATGTGAGCTTGTGAAAAGAAATAAATTGAACAAAAAGGTTATCTCGAAAAAAGTGAGGCAATAGTTTTATTGTACGCATTCTTTTCTTTATTGAAGGGGAGGTGTTACTTATACCAGCATACAAGTATTGCCTTTCATATTTTTCCCAGTAGGATAAGGAAAGCAGAAAGAAGTATTGGCGATTTTCACACTCAAGTTGCTCATTGCAGCATTTCAGTATCGAAACCAAATCTCAAAATTATTATGATTACCGCTCATGTCCAAAGGTGACATAATTTCTTACAACATACCAGATACGACTAGCTGAGGATTGACAAAAAGCATGAAACTCAAGTTTTAGGGCCTGTTGTTGGCTGCCCTTAAGTATGATCAAATACATTCAATTCAAAGTTCACCAAAACGCAGAGTCGCTTAGCTTGACGATGTAACTGACAGAATCCAGTTAGCGCCACCATTAAGGACTTCAGGAAGACATATAAAACTGGTTACACACCCGAGCGATCGGTGAATACAGTTTCAAATTTGACCACCGATTGATATCAGTTGGAGAACCATCAGAAACCTTCAGGTAGTTCTGGACAACTGTTTCGTTACACAAGTTTACAACTCATCAGTAGTACTTTCCCACTCTCCGAGTTTGAACCCAACCCAGGATCTGCGGGTTACAAGGCAAGCTCATAGACCATTCAGCTACTGGACCCAGTACTCCCTGGTTTACAATGTTTCCTCAACCAATATCAATCTGTGATCAAAATTGAAATCCGTCATTAGTGGAGCAGACGAGTTATCTCCCAAACCATAAGCAGTCGATTACAATGTACTATATCTCACTCTCAGTCCCTGGAATATGTCCGTAAAATGTAGATCTGAAGCTTCATTCTTCATATGTGGCAGAATTACCCCCAAAATTACTTACTATACAGGTTAGTGAGATATGTAAAGAATGTTTAGATTTGAAAAATTAAAACACAGAGTAGCTAACACAAAACGTGTGGCGTTCTGTTAACAAGTTAACCGATTAGAACTCCGTGACCAGGTGGTACTGGACTAGGAGAGACACACTTATCATGTGAAGGCCGATGCCTACTACTACCCGAATGCCTAAATTGAAATAGGAAAGGTAAGATTCGAATCCAGGACCAACTGACTGCAAGTACCTTGTTATCCTGACAAAAAGAAGTAGTATATCGCTCGAAATCTTCGCAATCTTAACAATCATCAATTTTCCAAGCTGCATCCCCAAAATGGTTTTAGTTAAAGAAACATTGAAAACCACCAAGGAGTACTATATAGTTATTTCGTCTCAGTTTGCAACTCCTCAGCACTACACACACACGATCTAACGGTGGATCAATTCTGGGACTTAAGGTTACAACAAGGCGAGTTCGTATACTCTGTTGAGCCACTAAGACGGAACCCAGTGATCCATCAATCTTAACTCTGGCTAGCGGTCGTTCTGTACATTGCGAATTGGCACAGGTGACAAATGATAACAGGACATTGGATTACATCTCAATGGCCAACGAACTTGCCTTGTAACCTAAAGATCTTGGGTTAGATCCCTAGCAATGGATGGTATAGGTATGCAATGCCGAAGAGTCGCAAACAGCGGCGAAACACCTGTTCAGATCACACTTGAATCCAATCAAATTCCTTTCATCGAACCAACACACACACACACTCAAAGATGAATGAAAAACTCACTGGTATCTGTTGGATTTATGCTTAACTTTTGTAAATCATTTTCCACTTCCTCTTGTTCGAACAAAGAAGTAGAAGAAGAAGAGGGAGAAGAGTTAAAATACTTTGGGGTTGTATAGAATGAATGCTCTTCAGGAGATAAGGACACATTTTCAATTGTATTATTCTCCTCACTATTATTATTATTATCATTGTCAATTAAGATAGTATTATTCATACTGTTGTCATTGTTTAATGCAGCATTTGAGTCATTATTATCCCCTGCTGATGAGGATGATGAAGATTCCGTTGGTGAGGTACAAGTAGAATTCATACGTGAATCTGATTGACAAATACTCCTGTCTAATGCTGAAATAATAATAATAATAACAAAAGGAAATCGTAAAATTAGATCAAAATAGCTACAAACGAGCACTGGTCAAAACTGTTTCTTTTTTTATAGAGTCAGGAGAAAATGTTCTACAGAAAAATTAGAGGAGAAGAATTTCTGAAAAAACAACGGTTACCCAGAGAAATTTACTAACAGCTAAGGAAGATGTACGGAAGATTTAAATGCCAATGAGGTGGGAGCGAAAGCTTATCTCCATTTGATTTAATTTTAAAGGTGATAATACATTGCAGAAGGATCACTCAACAGAAGTCTGAGTATTGCACTACCCAGAACCTATCCTGTGGCCATGTTGGTTCCCCCACCTATCGGACAACATGTTCTTCTTTTGGTGCAATCAAAAGTCGACAGATACACTTTACACAGAAATTTACATTGGAAGAACAAAAAGACAGGCACACACCTTCGATTTTCTCAACATGTTCTAAAAAGCTTACGTCTCAAGGGAACAAACAACTTCACTAGTGTCATTGACAGACATCTCATTAATACGGGTGATCATGAAGTGGAAACAATGCAATGTTTCGGAAATTATCAATAGGCAAAATATTTAATTGGTGGATGGTGACTAGCAGTGGAGTCAAGGATGAGCATTTTGTCCTATTTGGGACTCGCCATCTGGATGTACCTGCATTTCTCAGTGACTGATGATGTTCCCACCGAGGCTCGAACCCAGTGCCAAGAAGCCGACATGTCAACCTGAGACCGGGCACTTCCGTCCAATCAATCGACGGGAAAATCTAAAATTCAATTAACTAGGCAAAACAGTTCAGTTCTCCTTATATATTCGCCAAAGCAGTCGCTATCAGACGCCAGAAATCCAAGTTATGTGTCCAGAAGGCAGTAGATATCAGTCTTTCCTTGCTCAATCTCATGACTGAATGTCTATATTGTCTCTTTCACTTGATTACGTAATGTTTAACTTTAACCTCACCCCTCCCCTTGATACAGTGTAACTTGTTTCTATGGTTTGAGTTGAACTCAGTATTTTGTTACTCAATGTATTAGTTATTCATCATTTTACCTTTTGTCTATATTATGTAACTTTTCTACCATTGTATGCAAACATTTCGCTTTGTTTGAACTTGACATATCTCCTCGGCGACTTTTTTTGAATTATACTCTATTAAGTAAATATACAGTTACTTTTCAACACATCTTTGGTACGCTCTCGCTTACGCTGAGGTCTGAGAGGTTGGCTAGCCGCTGTATACACACTGTTGGCCTAGACAAGCTCTAGGCGTCCCTAATTCAACTCAACGTGTTGCAAAATAATAATATTTGGCGACGGGTGAACTGCTATAAAAATAGACTCATAACGCTTGAATAAGTTAATAAAGCAGCAGTTTAAGATGACGGAGTACTTGCTTGCTGGTCGGTCGTCCCCCAATGACTTATCTCCATCCAATGACAATATTGAAAGGAGAATATCTGGATATATATATATATATATATATATATATATATATATGCAGAACCTTCGATAATTATTACCCTACTAATGGTCACGACTTCACAGCAGGTCGGGTGAGGACAAATACCTGCCCCTAATGACATTGGCTGGTGGTCGCATTATATAATATCGTGAAGTGAGAGAAATTGGAATTCATGAGCTAGCTAATGGATCGGGTCACAGTGGCTTAACGATCTACAAGTTCGCCTGGAAACCGAAATATCGTGGGTTCAAACCCCGGGTGGATGTGTACTGCCGAAGAGTCTCTCTCAACCTAGTCGGACACAACAACTGTCTGGCAGTAGTCCCAGGTGATTTTTCAATGTCAGCTAATGATGATAGAATACAGTCCGTACCGAACAAAGAACACTACGTACTATTTACTTACTACTACTGTGGTGAGAACTGCCTGCAAGACGCAATTGTAGGCAGCAATTTACGTCAATGTTTGCGTCCCAAATCGGAGTCATGAGAAAAAAACAAGAACAGAGTCTAACCTTGAGGAACTCAACAAACAATCACAGCAGACTTAATGTGTGCAAATACGATTAACAGATACATAAACGCTGTTACGAGTGCGCCATAAGTTTCAGTGATAGTTTATTGTTTCATTTCATTTATTGTGTGAGGGCTGAGATACTGCCCGCGTATCCAGACCGAAGCAGATGGTTTTATTAAGGGACCACCCCCGCAAGCCTTTGACTTGGAGTCTAATCCGCAAGGCAACGGAACAGTGTCAAGAGCTGCATTTCCATGGTTGCCGGTGACCAATATGGGTTCATGCGCCATTTGATCCCATTGGATTCTAGAGCCCATGTACCCCACGGTAACTGCTTTTAGTCTAATCGCTATCCAAACAACCTTCCTGACATGGGAGGACCTGCAGGAACATGAGTCCCAGCCAGTTTATATTGTTGGGTCACTGAGGTATTCAAGCTCGACCACCACGGCAAGGTAGAAGTTGTCGGCCGGGGTACATCAAAGGACTGTCTAAGAAACGGCAACAAAGAGATGACAGGATAACCTTCGGCAGGAAAACAAACAGTCAGAAGACGCTGTTCCTCTCTGCTAACAAATAACGAATAATAATGTGCATAAAAATCTATAAATATCTGTTGATTTTTTTTTATTTTTTGATAACAGCTTGATTCCACACTGTATTTTTCGTACAAGTATGGAATTTTCAGCATGGATATCGGTAGCCCAAATTTCAGAGGCCGACCATAGATATCAGGTGTGCGTCGGCAGGGGGGATCGAACCTCGGACCATGTGCATGGTCGGCGAGAGTCCTAACCACTGTGCCACCGACGCACAAAAAAATTAAAATAAATGTCTGTTGATTTTTTCAATAAACAACCATCTGTTGCCTAGCCCTTGTCTTAATCGTTACAAACAAACTAAACAGATCACATTTTCATGAAACAGAACTTACATTTTCCTGGTGATATTTGACTCATGTGAACACTGTCTGAAAGGCCAATTGAAATCGATGATGTCGATGCACTACCACCCTCACTACCATTTGACTCATCTTGAGAATCCTCCAGAAATTTATCAAAACTTTCATAGATCTTATCCTTCATACTGTTTGAATTCTTATTTGATGATTGATGATCAGGTAGACAGGGACGCGAAGACTTGGAATCAGTCATTTCAATCTGGCAAAGACTTAATTGTCTATAGGATCCTTGAAGCCATTCATTCTGTCTATAAGGAGTCAAATATAAAAGTGTGAATACCTTAGACAATAACACCGCTGAAGAGGTGTAAACTGCCAGTAATACTTCAAAGGTTATGTATGCTTGAAGACTTATATTCCACTGGTTTACGTGGGAAATGAGGCACAAAAAAAATATATCAATAAACATGCTATGTTAAAACCTTGCAGAGACAATTGATGCAGCTGATGAAATCATAAGACAAATCAATTGTCCATTAAGGATATTCAATCCTTGATTTATTGATATTAGATAGTTGGAGGTAATCGGCCACAGGAAGCCTTCGACCTAGGTTTTGTGCTAGTTGGCACTCGCCAGTCAGTCATCAATGCGTATCTGGCAACCTTGGAGGAAATCATGTCCATCCAACTGAGATTCGAACCCGCGTCACCCAGTGCTGCAGTCAGAGACGTTATCACTGAGCTATTCGGGTTCGCAATTTCCCTTCTGTAGGACCAAAGAAAGGACTAGACACGTCACACTAGTTACTAGTGTCCAAAAAAATATTCAATCCTCTTGATCGATAATGTAGAATGACTGTCAATGGAGTTGAAGATTGAACGATCAATTCTTGGTTGTTTGCTCAAAATCAACTTCCCCAATTTTCGCGGAGGCATCAATTCGACAGTCATCGTCTCATCGGTCGCCGTTCAGAAAGAAGTCAGCAGAAAACCGTCAGAAGTAATATTGTGATTTATTATTGTAATATTTGTTCACAGACCTTAGTTGTAACAGTGTTTATATGTTGGTGTTATAATAAAGAATTCTCGAGTCGCCAATCGGTGTTTTGGTTTTTTCGTCCGTTATTACTAAGCGTTTCTGAGAAACTTCAAGGAACAGTGTGAGCCCGAGTGCAGCAAGAGCTGAGCATTAACGGTTTACGAGGCGTGGCTGACGATGACATTAAAAAAAACAAATAGAGAAGACAGAGGTGATGAAGATAACGAACCAAAGAATAACCACAGAGCACCAATCACTAACAACCGGAGAAATTTGAAAGAAGAAAGCCATTTTCTTCACTTGTCTAGGCACAACAAGCGTTTTTTCGACTGCAGGTAGTCGACGTGAATAAGGATATCGAAACCGGGATCGGAAAGTCAAGACAGACCCTTATATCACTATGAAATCAAAAGGAAGTTTGAGCAAAGAATATTTCTTTTCGATAGTCTCCTCTTCCGGCTCTGCGATTACAATAATGCCGGCATTTACCGGGTTTAAACTAAACTACTCAAGTCTGTGTGGAGGTAAGCAGCACTCAGCATCAAAAATAAGATCCGGATATTCAACTCCAATATGAAGTCAGTGCTACTATATGGATCAGAGAGTTGGCGCGTCATAAAGAGCACCTCAAACAAACTACAGACCTGCATTAACAGCTGTCTTCACTCAATACCAGTCAAGATCAGATGGCTAACCAAAAAAGATCAGCAATAAGGATCTCTGGGAGCGAATCAACACAGCAGGAGCCAATTGTGCAATAAATAGGCAGGAAGAAATGGAGGTGGATTGGCCATACTCTAAGAAAACAAACCATCAAGTGACATCACACGCCATGCTCTTGAGTGGAACACATATGGGAAGTGGCGAGTTGGTTGTTATTGTGAAGGTGACATGGAGGAGGTCGTGTGAAGAGGAGATGAAAGCATGTGGGCAGACTTGGAGCAAGGTGAAAACTCTAGTAGAGAACCGAACGCAATGGAGACGAGCGGCTGAAGCCCTATGTTCTTTAGGAATTAAAGGAAATAATAATAATATAAATAAACTAAACTACAAGTCATATTTTCTCCACAACCGATGGTGATCCGTCAATTGAAATATGAAGTAGCTAGACTATTCATTTATAATTGTATCTACCAAGTCAACTGCGCTTGTAATGGAAAGCGTTAAATTGGCCGTTGCTCTAGCAACTTGATTTTTGTGCTCACTCGGAGACATCTACCAGTGTGGTTAAATTAAGGTGTACTGAGAAGTATTAATAGCGCGATATTAAAACACTTGTTCCAAACCAGCCATAAAGCTAAGAATTGAAGAGTCCTTCTCCACCATCTATCGGGTACCAAATAAATGACCAAAAAAACTAGGTACCACAAACTCCAAACAGCAGTGGCTATCACGATTCGCCTGAAACAACTAGTGCTCTGTGTACAGAAAAAGTAAGTACAACCACTACTACACTGCCCTGGCTAGCCTTCAGTGGAGACCACAAGTTCATGAATTTGTATTAGTATTTTTCCTAATTTTTCTGATATTTAGTGTATTTTTATGCTGATACTATCGAACTGTAATCCATTGACTCGATGTTATTTAAACAATATTAATATTGTTCATAACACTAATTTATTCATTCACTATTATGCATATATAACTGTAGAACATCATGACGAAGTTATCGAAAACAGTATTGTTTATTCAAAACCCATTCTTTTGAAAAATAATGCAGAAGTTATAAATACGCATAAAAAAATGTAATAGTAAATAGAATAGCAGATAAAATTGAGGGAATTTCCACAACAAACTGAGGAACATTAAAACCTTGATGGCCAAGGTGGGGATACTGTCTGAACCAACTTCTTTCGGGTACATAAGTCAGGTTTTGTTAATGTAGATCCCAACAGCCAGCCTCAGCAATATATATAAGCTAAAGTTTGCATACTTAGAAGGCTTTGTTTCAACAAATATGTGTTCTGTATCTACAATATAAGATATTATGGAACTATATGAATGGACTTTGTTTGTCCCTTAACTATGCAAGATGGTGTTCAGAAATCCGACGATAAACACGCCTAATTGTACACCCTATGCTCGACAGGAGCAGTCAAACTGTTAGATACACAGAGAAGAGGTGATATTAGGAAGTTTATCTTTAACTCCCGTACGCGAAATAGGCGTGGTTCAGAAGAGACGACATATTTCAGCAGCACTGAATGGCCTTTTTACCACTGCATTCCTTAGGCGTTGTGTTAATATCTCACTGATGTTATCCCCAAGGAAGTGAATTTTTAAAAACAACAATGCCTTTTTCAAAACTGTTGGTATTCTGGCCTGTCTTAACATTTGATTCGTATTTTTACAGATGATTTTTTTCTGGATAACCATTCTCACTCTCAGCAACTGTTTAATAATATTAAGCTTTTCACTAAGACATTCGTCAGAGTACATTGCTCTTGCTCTGTGGGCTAAGTACTTCAAAAGATTGCGTTTGTATTTCAAAGGCACGAAGCTGTAAAAATGAATATACTGACCAGTTGATGTAGGTTTTATATATGCACTTCTTCTGATTGTATCGTCCCCTTTTCTAGTCATAAGAACGTCTAGGAATGAAATACTGCAGTCTCTTTCTTTCTCGATGGTAAAAATTTGTTGCAGGATGTACATCATTAAATTTGTCAAAGATTTTTTTTGCTTGATCCTCTGAAATCCATTTGGACATATTCTGCATACCACCGGAGCGAACACAACAAAATTCAGATTTTCAACACCAATGACAAGTAAGTCAGTCCTTCCACATGGATCAGACTTTCATCAAAAATTGCCTTCGCCGGCTTCATCTTGAAGATCAGATGGCCAACGACCGACAAAGAATTAGTATTAGGCAACTCTGGGAATGAACCAACTAAGGTACCTACTGCTCAACAAATATCCCGAAGAAAATGGAGACAGGCTGAGGAGATCCCCGAATAACCGCCAGGCATAACCTTCGGTAGAACCTGAATGAAAAACATCAAGTTGGATATGAGTCCGAGGTTGATACGGTGGAGGATCGTATGAGGAGATGAAAGCTTACGAGCAATCATGGGGCCAGCTGATGATGAGCAAGATCAAAGAGAACGGGAAATAATGGAGATGTGCTGTTGAAGCCTTATGTTCCATCCGAAATCCAATAGAAAAACAATAAGAAATAGCCATATGAATGAAAGAAAAGAATTCAAAAGCTTAGAACAATAATAATAATACTCAAGTATTGGTTTTGTAGGGATTTTGTTTGATTGTACGGAGGATTTCACCATGAGCTGACATCAGTTAGAGAACCACTGGAAAACCTGGGAGTACTGGACAGCTGTTTCATCCCGGTGCTTGGGACTCTTCATCAGTACGCACCCACCGGGGTTCGAACCCAGAACCTTCTGGTTACAAGGCGAGCTCGTAGACCATTGAACCACTGAGACTCGATCCAATGGTTCTTGAATTCTAACTTCTGCCAGTTCACGACATAGTTCACTAGCGACTGGCCCTATTCAGGCAGTTAACCTGGGGTTCTAGTGGGAAGCCATGACCAGTAGGGTACAGCAGGTCGAAGATGAGGGAGTAACCCATCGAGGAAGACATTGCGAAGTGGTCGCGCTATGTCGTGAACTGGCAGAAGTTAGAATTCAACAACCATTGGATCGGGTCCCAGTGGCTCAATGGTCTACGAGCTTGCTCGCTGGCCTTGTAACCAGGAGGTCCTGGGTTTGAACCCCGGTGGGTGCGTACTGATGAAGAGTCCCAGGCACCGGGATGAAACAGCTGTCCAGTACTCCCAGGTTTTCCAGTGGTTCTCTAACTGATGTCAGCTCATGGTGAAATCCTCCATACAATAATAATAATAATATAGGCAACTTAACAACTCAGAAGCAAGTGATCATGACTGAACCCCCATCATAGATTCTTCGATAGTAAGTCGTCTCTAAGCATGGCTATTTTCAAACAAACTTCTACACAACATACACTAAAAAGCAATACCATAAAACTACATTATTGACCTGTTGACCTTCACAATATAAACAGACATAAACACAACATTAAAATAATAACAATAATAGTAATAAAGCGAATGGGGAAGAAAGGAATACCCAGAACATACAGATCTGCATATAAGTTATTGATGGAATCCTGCATTTTCTTCATAAGTTCAGCAAGTTCCTTATCACCAGGTTGGTCTAACTGGGTTAAATCTGTAGATGGTGATTGTAAAGTTACTTCCAGTGAAGATGATGACGAACCGATAGTCTGATAGGAATATTTTTTCAACGCAGATAACTGAGAGCAGATCAGTTCAACAGTTTGTTTGAATACAGTTTCTCCATTCTTATTCGATGTATCATTGATAAACAACGGAGTATAGGATTGTACAGCCAACTGGAGAAGTTCAACTGCATGACGTAGAAATCTGTAGGATTGAAAATAATGGATAACAATCAATCACACGGCGACAGAGAGGATGGGTGCGTGGGTGGGTGGAAACAGTCACATTGTGCAGCTCAAACGTAATACGTTAATACAATCATAATAGTTGGAAATCAAAAGGAATAATGAGGATAGTTCGCGAAAACCTATACAATGTATGCTTGATATAAGAATAAAACTTGTACACTGTGGTAGAGTCTAATTCCATTATGGGTAAATTTTTGTTTTGATAAAGTCTCACAGTGTTATACAGTAATGTTTACTGATGCGACGACGTTTCGAGCACAATTTATTACTACTGCTCACAATCATATCAAGACATTACTCACACGGCTTCCTAACTTCATTTATATAGTTCCATTATTTTTCACTTGATTTGATTGGCAGTAGTATTTTCCATATTTCAGGTATGAGTGATGAATCATTCCTATTGCATGTGTTTGGTGTAGACCCGATGAGCCAGGTCGGATTCAGTAATCAACGTCTCTCTCCACCTACATAGATTACTTCTTAGAATCCTAACTCTCTGCCACCCTATTGTGTGGTTGTGTGTTAATGCGTGCAGTGCCACTGCTGAGCTTTTTTCTGAATTACTTATCTTCGCGAGTGGGGTCAACCATCCTTACCTGAGCTGAATTCTTATGTTCCGACAATCTGACTACCCCTGACCTACTAGTTTGACCTATGTAGTTGACCTCACAGTCATCGCAGGGTATTTTGTAAATTATATTATTTTGTCTAATTGGGTCAACCGACTGGATCCTTTAACCAACAGAGCTTGTCCTACCTGAGTGAGTTTGTAGGTTTGAATGCCACCCTAATTCCTGCTTTATTTAGAATCCTACGTAGGGTTTCAGATGTCCCCTCTTTATATGGTATAACTGTGAATGACTTATATTCTCTCTTATTTATGTTATTATTAATAGTTTCACAATTATTTTTATTTTTCGTTTGGCCCTTTTCGATCTTCCTAGTGAATTTCATAGGACAGTTATTTGATGCCAACGCCCCTTTTATCTGTTTTAGTTCATCATTTAGGTCTTTTCTTGTGCTACTTAGTGCTACTGCTTGGTTTGTTAAACACTTGACTAAGCTGGGAAAGTAATGCTCTTAATACGTTTACTCCTACTCCAAAAGTATGGTGGGATATGTGGATGACACTTTCACAGTAATAAAAACAGAACATATCTCTAGCTTCTTGACACACATCAACTCACTAGTGGAGGGAATAAAATTCAGATTTGAATCGGAAAATGAACAAGGAGAATTAGCTATGTTAGATTGTAAAATAAAACGAATAGAAGAAGGTAAACTACACACTAGTGTGTACAGAAAACCAACTCATTCTAATAGATACTTAGACTTTAATTCATCTCATCCTTTGACCGTTAAGACAGGCTTAGTTAAGTGTTTAACAAACCAAGCAGTAGCACTAAGTAGCACAAGAAAAGACCTAAATGATGAACTAAAACAGATAAAAGGGGCGTTGGCATCAAATAACTGTCCTATGAAATTCACTAGGAAGATCGAAAAGGGCCAAACGAAAAATAAAAATAATTGTGAAACTATTAATAATAACATAAATAAGAGAGAATATAAGTCATTCACAGTTATACCATATAAAGAGGGGACATCTGAAACCCTACGTAGGATTCTAAATAAAGCAGGAATTAGGGTGGCATTCAAACCTACAAACTCACTCAGGTAGGACAAGCTCTGTTGGTTAAAGGATCCAGTCGGTTGACCCAATTAGACAAAATAATATAATTTACAAAATACCCTGCGATGACTGTGAGGTCAACTACATAGGTCAAACTAGTAGGTCAGGGGTAGTCAGATTGTCGGAACATAAGAATTCAGCTCAGGTAAGGATGGTTGACCCCACTCGCGAAGATAAGTAATTCAGAAAAAAGCTCAGCAGTGGCACTGCACGCATTAACACACAACCACACAATAGGGTGGCAGAGAGTTAGGATTCTAAGAAGTAATCTATGTAGGTGGAGAGAGACGTTGATTACTGAATCCGACCTGGCTCATCGGGTCTACACCAAACACATGCAATAGGAATGATTCATCACTCATACCTGAAATATGGAAAATACTACTGCCAATCAAATCAAGTGAAAAATAATGGAACTATATAAATGAAGTTAGGAAGCCGTGTGAGTAATGTCTTGATATGATTGTGAGCAGTAGTAATAAATTGTGCTCGAAACGTCGTCGCATCAGTAAACATTACTGTATAACACTGTGAGACTTTATCAAAGCAAAAATTTACCCATAATGGAATAATGTATGCTGGCTACCACCTTTGACCATAGCTGTCTACGTTCTGTCTCCTGTGTTAGGTGATATCATACGGTGAGTATTACTGAGGCTAGACAAAGAATATTAGGTAAAGAAGGGGAGAAGCTAGGAAATGTGTTGTGCTACTACACTCATGCTTAGCCGTCTCCTCTTTTCTCAACCGGAAATGTTAGCTAACATAGGATCAATCAGGTTAGAAAAAAAAGGCAGTGGTGGTGGTGGTCAAAATAAAACATGGCTTTATCAAGTCCATGAAATCGTTAACGGTTAGTGTAAGCGCAATATCGCTTGAAATTAAGTCACGCGTAGATAAAGGCTATCCCGGTCCAGAACAAACAAGAAGCCGGTCACTGTTTCTACGGTACTATTAATAAACAAATCAATAATTATATATACAACAAACCTTAACGGTTTCAAGAGTACAAAGCACAATGCTTAACAGAAAGCAAGGTACCGCTATCAGAGCGGAATAACGTTAAAACCAAAATTGCGAACTAGCCGGAACCAGACACGACCGTTCAGGTAAGCAGTCAGTAGAAGAATGAACCCAAGTAAGGTATGGCATAAAACAGAGAGCGTTTAAGAGAGATAGACCGAGCATAGGCACAAAGATAGAATTTAATTGGCTACTTAACCAGGTAGGAAAATACAGATGAAAATCAATAAATAAGATAAACTCGACAGAATAGTACAAAGTTAGACATGGGTCAGCAAAATTAACAGTTCACAAAATACTCTGATTGGGCCATGAGTTCAACTGTCTGACTAAACGGATCGAGGTAAAAACACATATACACAGTTCATTAAACAAGAGGGGATAGACACGTTAGGCATGGATAATTGGGTTGCAACAACGCTAGGCTGATCCGGGACAGGTTGCCTTGATTCAAGGATGGGAATAGAATTGATCTTACACCGGCCCCCAAAATCCGACTAGGATTTTATGAATCATGTTATACAGAATAACCCTCGTGCCCGGCTCTCTTACTAATGACATCCCTCTAGTAGACATATCTTACGTATATCGCGCTTCACCTCGCCGTTTCTCGTTCTTATTTTAACCGTTCTGACAAGTTCGTCCGCGGATTGCTCGCATTCCGCAATAACTCCTCGCGGCCAACGCCTAGCCAACCATCTTGCCACCACAGAAATCGTAATGCTCCTCGATCGTCTACTGGCACCTTCACTTGCATAAACATATCAGCTATGTCCGCGACTACACCAATAGGCTTTTCTCGAAAGCGCAACAGAGCACCAACAAGCTCGGCAATCGTATCAGGTCCTTGATATAGCTTATCGTTCAAAGAATAACATCTAAAGTTTGCGGCGCAATCCATAACTAATCTCAGTTTATCTGGCCTTTTCGGCTTCATAACGGGATGATGTGGAAGATACCACCTCGAACGATAGTCCGCTGCTAGCTGCTCCGGGGGTACCGGAAGGGCGTAACCATTTTTTGACATCGTATTTATCCCATTCACATATCGTGCTAAAAGGTTCTTGTCACACGATAACCTCTGTTTCAGATTGAGTAACGGCTTTATGACGACTACATAATTATTATCTGTTACCTTTGTTGGATCTTCCCATGGCAAGGGAATAATGTAATACGCCTTTTCTAAGACGGTGCTTTGAGTAACAAACTCGATTGCCTTACGATCTTCAATAGAAAATGAGTCTTCGTTTTCTTCAGTATCCTTAAGCTCAGCTTCATATAGCATTCTGATGTCCTCTTTGATACTATCTTCGCTGATTCGAGCGTAATTGACAGTGCCACTTTTCGTATTTCTATGAATGTTCCGTTCGTCGTCCTCGGCTAACTTCACATGCAGCTCGGCCATTTCGACATCATGTCTAGCCTTTAGCAACTTTATCTCTCTAACTCTAACTCCTGTCGAAGCTGTTTCTCTTTTAGCTGCGCCATTAGTAGCGACGACTTAGCACTAGTTACTCGCGATAATGATAATTTCGAACTACTGACATGAGAGCCGGGGCACGAAAGATTATCAACATGATCATTTATACGAACGGGGGCTTGCCGACTCTCCGACTGCTGCTCCGAAATTTGCTTCCCTGATCTGGTTTGCATTGTTCCAAAGAAAATGTATTTTCAACAACGTTGCGTGCTGCCAATTCACCACAGTTTCTTCTGGACGAACGTTCAGTACTGACCAGTTCAGTACGGTCTTTCCTGTTTGACGTTGAGTACTGACCAATTCAGTACGGTCTCGATCCGTTTAGCGTTAAGTACTGACCAGTTCAGTACGGTCTCCTCTTTAACGTTAAGTACTCCGTTAAGTACTGACCAGTTCAGTACGGGATTTTCTTCAATGACAATTCCTCTTTCGTTAAGTACTGATCAGTTCAGTACGGTCTCCTCTGTAACGTTAAGTACTGACCAATTCAGTACGGTCTCGATCCGTTTAGCGTTAAGTACTCGTTACGTACTCCGTTAAGTACTGTAAGCGCAATATCGCTTGAAATTAAGTCACGCGTAGATAAAGGCTATCCCGGTCCAGAACAAACAAGAAGCCGGTCACTGTTTCTACGGTACTATTAATAAACAAATCAATAATTATATATACAACAAACCTTAACGGTTTCAAGAGTACAAAGCACAATGCTTAACAGAAAGCAAGGTACCGCTATCAGAGCGGAATAACGTTAAAACCAAAATTGCGAACTAGCCGGAACCAGACACGACCGTTCAGGTAAGCAGTCAGTAGAAGAATGAACCCAAGTAAGGTATGGCATAAAACAGAGAGCGTTTAAGAGAGATAGACCGAGCATAGGCACAAAGATAGAATTTAATTGGCTACTTAACCAGGTAGGAAAATACAGATGAAAATCAATAAATAAGATAAACTCGACAGAATAGTACAAAGTTAGACATGGGTCAGCAAAATTAACAGTTCACAAAATACTCTGATTGGGCCATGAGTTCAACTGTCTGACTAAACGGATCGAGGTAAAAACACATATACACAGTTCATTAAACAAGAGGGGATAGACACGTTAGGCATGGATAATTGGGTTGCAACAACGCTAGGCTGATCCGGGACAGGTTGCCTTGATTCAAGGATGGGAATAGAATTGATCTTACAGTTAGTTTAAAGCCAGCCAGTCACTTAGGGAAGTGTAGACTACCTTATTGATTTGGGTACTCGGGATGGTAAGAACCAATGAAGGCTAGAGACAATTGGTGATATGGCTGGCTCAAAATCGTTTATAATCGCTGATGCAGATACAGTCACTCTTTGTAATTTGTCATATCCTATGAAATCTGTAAATGTTTAGCAGGCAATCCTCTCCTGTCAAATGTAAGATGATGCTACAGGACTGGACTGGACTACATTGATCCCTAAGCTTAAAGATAGACAGTGAAGTTGTAGAGTGTATTGACTACTTCGCTTATTTAGGGAGTTGCAACAGTCCCAACGGGTTGATCTCTGACGAAATCTCAGCACGGATACAGAAGGCTCGTTTGGCATATGCCAACTAACGCCATCTCTCGCGTAGACATGATACTACACGACTGTCAACCAAAGAGCATGTGTACTGCTTAACAGTCCGTTCCGTCCTCGTTTACGGCTGTGAGACCTGGCCATTGAGAGTAGAGGACATGAAAAACCTGGTTGGCTGTCTTTGTATAACACACGTCCTAACCATGTCAGTCGACGTAGCTTCACAGCCTCGTCGATTGACTTCCCTCCCTACCTAGCACTCGATGTCCAATTTCAGTATTGCTTACCCTACTATACCACTTCACACGGGAGATAGAACACAGACACCCACGATCTTTGCTCGACAGCCGTGTAGTATCACGTCTACGCGACAGATGGCGTTAGTTGGCATACGAAACGAGCCAAACGAGCCTTCTGTATCCGTGCTGAGATTTCGTCAGAGATCAACTCGGTGGCATTCGCTGATGCAACTTCCCAAATAAATGAGGTGGTGGTCAACGTGCCCTACCACTTAACTCCCTAATTCTAAGCTAGGAGTCAGTGTAGTCCAGTCCTGTAGCATCATTAGTTAATAATAGATTGTTATACCTTACCAGTAAATATATGTATACATGTACGATTGCACAACCTTTGAAGGTGACTTCATCCATAAAGTAAATTATTGTCATTATATAAGGAAATGTTACGATATATACATAGAGAGGAAAAGGGGTGAAATCCAGTGATTATTCTACACAGCTGATGATTAAAACTTACAGGCGAAGATTTAATTTGCCATTCTCGTCTTGTTTCAACTCTGCCTACAATAAAAATAGACAAATAATCATATTCCATATTTATTATACACATTTCCTTTAACCAAAATATTAAATCTAAGACAGAGAGAGAGAAAGATCAGGTACCTATCACAGTAACAAACTTGTAGTCACTCTTAAAATACATTAACAGACTTGAACGAAGGCAGTAACACTGTGACGTGTGTTACCTGGGGATGGCGGAACACCCCCAATACAATGACTAGACGCTGTCACAATTCTTGATCAACGCGGAAAAGTTGTGACATATCGCTGCAGACAATTGTGTACCAAAAACGATACTGACAGATTATGTTCTTTGCTTTGACGGTGAAGAATTTACATCCCGTTTGTAACAGCTGGGTGTATGAAGATTAGAACAACACTATACCATCCACAAATGTGAATGGTTTGATTGAGAGGAATAACCATACACTGAACGACTGGCTGACCTCGAGAAAAGGTAACTGGGAGATAAAGCTTCCATTGATACTACTGGCACATTGTGCTTCACCCCATAAAACAATAAAAAGTCATCATTTCAGTTGATGCATGGGGAAGGAGGGAAACCACCACGACTACCAATACACAGCACGACCCGGTCCATTTACCAAGAGTTGATTATGACAATATTGCGAACGGAACGAAGCCACCGCGAAATCTGAACAGAGAGAAAAGATGAAGTGCATGACCTTCGAAGTCAGCGAGAGAGAGAAAGCACACAACGAGATGCGGATCAGGGTCACGGAAACTCCTTCCGACAGACATGGTCCCGTTTATATCATCAAAAGAGGAAATAAACAGAGACGGGTTAAAATCAGACAACTGCAGGAATAGATACAATGGAATAAGGAAGCTGGGACCAGGGCACAACAAGAATAGGTAGAACCAAAAAGGTAGGAGCTGCTCCGCACGACACTGTTTGACGGGATGATGAGTATGGCGTATGCTACTGACGAAGTTTATCAGTAGTATAAAAAGAGACAAACTGGCTGAAGAAGCCGCCGGCGAAGAGAGGATTACAGTTGAACATAGGGAAGACAGAGGTGATGAAGATAACCAACCAAAAGCAACGGTAAAAACAACCAACATCAATCACCATT